GCGGGGGAGTTGCCACTGAGAAATGATTTGTGCGTTTTCTTTTGTTACTTGAAGAATCTGTAATTGTCCAATTAAACAAACTGAGAGCAAGAAGTGCATGTGATGAAGGCACTGAGAAACGTATATTTTGAATTATGTGTGAGCGTGGTGTGTGATTCTGTGTTTGGGAAGCAGGGAATTATCTCCATTTTGCTGAAAAAGCCAATCTGTCTCTGAGCATGCTGCTGAAGTTGCAGTATACTGCAGGTGCGGCATGCAGAGAGGCACGTTCCACTTCTTCTGCGTGTGTATTTTGTTTGTGTGTGGTGGTGGGAGAAGGTGGGGGAAGGCTCTCTTGGCTGTGTGTGTGTGTGTGTGTGTGTGTGTGTGTGTGTGTGTGTGTGTGTGTGTGTGTGTGTGTGTGTGTGTGTGTGTGTGTGTTGCAGAGCTTACTTGGGTTTTGTACGATTATGCTGATGGCTCAACAAACTTTTTTCTTTGCGGTGTAATAAAATGCTGTGTATATCTTAGTGCAAAGACAGGAGAGTGCAGTTCTTCCTGTTATATACGTGCGTTGCATTTGCTATTCGTGCTTTGATGAATGGGATGAGTGTGGCTCAGGTGGTGAATGGCCCTCGGCCAATCGGAGGGTCAGCGGTTCGATCCCCAGCCAATGCAGTCACCATGTTCTGATAAGCTAGGGCAATATACTATACCCCCAAATACAGTGGTGCAGTGATGACATTTTTGTAAATTGACTCGGAAGTTAGGATTGCACGGGCGTCCTCGACAAAATGCAATAGGTTTTTTTCATTGGCTTTTGCTAAATAGCAGAAAATTAGCACACATGTTTATGATACTTACAAGTTTTATTCAGCAGGATAATCTCCACATATTAAAACCACTTTTGATTTTTGAAGCAGATGTGCAATCGGCAGAAGTAAAAAGCTAACGTTAGGATACAAATGATCTACATCACGGGTGCATGGCTGCGCGTCACCACAGCTAAGCTAACGGCGGATAATGTTTGGTGTGATGACGTTTAGTAGTTGAGTTTGTACGGAGCCTCCTAGGGGACACGGAGAAGAAAAACAAAATTATTTGAAAAAAATTAAAATAATGTTTTTCGAGATATCGCAATACTTTTCATTTAGCTCACTGTACTTCCTGGTCAGTTCGGCTGCTACGGCAACACAGAAACCACAACAATGGAGCGGTTCATCGATTTTACTTTGAGCTTGGCCTTAAATATAAAGATATAACATCAGTGCTTGGCAATAGGCACGGGTTTCACACATAGACTGTATATATAAAGGGTTTCACATAAGTGAAGACACCTCAAGAGAACACCTCAGAGCGAGGGGACATGCACGTCCTCTGAGCTGAGTTATTGACAGATTTGAATTTCGCGGATCAATAACTCATGAACATAACGTTGTAAAAATACAAACAACATGACTTTACAATCATAGCAAGATAGACAACGAGCTACAGAGTCGTTTTTATCAGAACAGTTCGATACGCTCCGTCATCCGAGCTAAACATCAATAATTGGTCACAATCTGCAGCTTAAGGAAGGAGAGGAGTGCTTAGGGACCGTCAACAAACTGCAACAGGGTTTTGCGAGATCTCGCAAAACTTTTTTTCTTTTTTTTTTCGTTCAAAACCTTTTTTTTATCTTCTCTATGTCCCCTAGGGGGCTCCGTAAATTTGACAGCGCTGTTTTACGAAAACTTGAAAATCTCTTCAGCTTGTGTTAACCACAGATGTTATTTCAGGCTTTTAACCGAAAACATGTTCAATACACCGTTGACCTCTATACAAGGAAACCTGAAGGAGTAAAATGCTAAGTCATTTCCTGGTTTTCAGGCTCCACTCCATTGCTCCCGCAGGCCTGTCTGCGGTATTGCACTACATTATACTGCACCAATTTGATGACTTTGACTGTGTCGCCTGGAATTATCCTCGAAGGAATGGCTCTCCATTGACGTTTCTGAAACACATTAGCATAGCTGTCGATTTTACAATTTGAACATAAACACATTATGAATAAAGAAAGACAACTCTGAGCAGAAAAATGTCCAGTTAGTCCTGAGATCATGAAAAAACATTCACTCGGCTGTGCTGCAGTGCAGGAGCTCGACTGACCCAGTATGAGGAAATGGAGACAGGAGGAGAGGAGGTGGAGGGAGAGGAAGTGGAGGGAGAGGAGGAGGAGGGAGAAAAGGGGTTGCAGAGGGAGAGCTTAAGAGAGAAAGGGTAATTCTCAACCCTCTGCTACTTCTGCTGCCGTGTGCTGTACGGTTCGGCATTGTTTGCCTCGTGAATTGTTCCGGTCCCTGGAGATTGTGGCCCTCTCTCCTGTCGAAAGAAATACTGCAAGTTTGGGAGAAGTTGCAGTCGTTTGTGTGGCTCAGCACTGAGCTACAGTCTTACCTCCCGTTTGGGGAAAAAAAGGTGTGCAATCTGTGTCGTTATCACTCACTTCAAGGAAGGGGAGGGGAGGAGGAGGAGGAGGAGTGGCATGATATCTTAACATTTAATTTGGAGCATAGTGTCCCTGCTGGTGTTCTGAATACATCACGTGTGTCTTTGTTTGGGGCCTACTTTGTGCTTTATGACCAGCAGTGCATTTTCTCAGCCCTCTTTTTCTTGTTCTCCTGTTTCCTCTTCTATCCCACTGATTATTTTTTCATAAATGAGATGACATTTTGCAGATCATCTGCATCTAGCCCTGACTCAAACTCTTATGTGGTTACATAATCTTTCGCGATTCCCTTTTTTAAGCCTTCCCTCTTTTCCATCCACTGTACAGCCCCTCTCCATCTGTCCGTCTATGCATCCTCTTTTATTCCATCCAAGGTGTTGAGTCTCTGCTGTTAAAAGGCTACTATTTGTCGTATCACTGTCAGACAACTGCATCAAATCTCAGCATATTGACTGGTTACACTTAATGCTTCACGGTTTTTAGAGGCAAGCTTCAATTTTCCAACTCCTTTTGATAATTTTCTCTTTATAATTTCAACAGTACGGTTTGCTGCATGCCTGTTTTTTTAACCTTCCCTCTTTTTTACAATTTAACTTTTTTTGTTCCATCCAGCAGCCAGTTCTGCTTTCCCTCCCTACAATTACCCATCCATGTATCTCTTTTTAAAGACGACATGTTATGCTCATTTCCAGGTTCATATTTGTATGTAGTGTCTCTACTGTGACATGTCTCCATGCTTTAATGTTCAAAAAGCTCTTTATTTTTCTCATACTGCCTGTGCTGCAGCACCTCTTTTCACCCTCTGTCTGAAACCAGAGCCCAGTCTGCTCTGATTGGTTAGCTGGCCGGCTCTGTTGTGATTGGTCAACCCTTTAGAGATGTCCCGTACCTTAGCATACCAGGTACAACCAAGCCCCAAGGAAGTGCGCCGGAGGAAAACATTCGTAGTGTCCAAACGGCGGTACTACAATTTCCGTATCAGTCCGTGACGTCACTGGGCCCAGAACGACTTTTCCCCATTGACTAACATCGGGAAAGAGACGTCTGTAAATCAGCGGATACTTTTTTTTAAACTAAATAAACTACCCAGTATGAACTATTTTATAGCCCTTATTAGAATAATTAGGTTGTTAAAGTTGTAAAATGCACTAAAAGCCAAATCTAGATTTATTTCCTCTCTCCGTTCATTCTAGTGAGCCGAGAGTGGGAGCTCGGGGGGCGGGGCTTAAGGGGTGCATGCTCTGTGAGCAGAGCACAAATACGGGTTCTTCTGCTCTGACAGCCAGGCATGATGGGTAATCTGTGACGTTTCGCTCTCTCAAAAGTTGGGCCATTTTGTCCTCATGCGCCAATGAGCAACGAGACCCCGCCTCCGACGCTGTATCCAGTTCTTATTATACATCCATGGGTACAACGTGTTGGTGCGCTAGCGGCTAGCCATTAGAAGTGCAAGTGTTACAAAAATAATGTCAATATGTTCAGGAAATAAACAAAGGAATCCAATGGAGGTGTTTCAGGTAGGGCTTATTCTTTCTTCCATTCCCTTTTCTGCATTACTTTTTTTTTTAAATCCGTCTTCTTTACACTTTTCCTCCATTACTGTATTCTGCCCTGATCCCTTTCCGTACATCTAGCCATGTATCTCTTTTTAAGACACACAAAACAGCCCAATGTTGACCTCCCTGTTGACCTTGCTGCTAGTGTTGTGCTCGGTGATATTCCTCTGACTCCAGTTGACTTCAGTCATGTATTCTGTGCTTTCCCCTGGATGACATGCTGCAACTACTTTTGCAGCTAGTCTCTGTCAAGTATATATTTATGTGTGTGTGTGTGTGTGTGTGTGTGTGTGTGTGTGTGTGTGTGTGTGTGTGTGTGTGTGTGTGTGTGTATAGACAGGCATGCATGCTGGTGTGGTACAGCCGCTGTCAGGCAGCGAGGGCAGCGGCTGGCAGCTGAGTATGAGTGAAGCTGAAAACCCTTGAGGAAACACAACTATACAGAGAAGAACAGAGACCCCTGCAGTGTGTGTGTGTGTGTGTGTGTGTGTGTGTGTGTGTGTGTGTGTGTGTGTGTGTGTGTGTGTGTGTGTGTGTGTGTGTGTGTGTGTGTGTGTGTGTGTGNGTGTTCTATTTAATTTTTATATCTTATTAATATGGTTATTACTATTAATGAGATCGGCGCGTCCTTTTTTACGAGAAGCACCCTGATATAGACAGAAGTCCTCATTAATAGTAATAACCATATTAATAAGATATAAAAATTAAATAGAACACTGAACTGTAAATGCGTTGCAGTATCTCTGTTCATAACACGTGATAGTTCTGAGTGACTCCCCTCACTTCCTGCACCGAAGCGAGTGCATGCAGCAAACTGCAGTTCGTTTTATATGTATTTTTCTCTCTTTCGATCGTTTCCTACAAACTTTATGTGCACGGCCTCCGGGTGTTTGTACATCCTATCCAAGGGGTAAAAGAGACAGAAAGAAACCCCCCCTCC